GGGGGGGTTTAAATACCCTCCCAGGAAGCAATAGGTAATGGGCTGATTCCTGGCAGCTGGGTGACACCCACAGGTGAGCACTGGAGCTGCAGGTACCATCACCCAGTGGTGGTCTGGTACCTGGCAGTTCCTGGCTGCCTGGAGAATCCTGAAGGTGAGCCCAGGAACTGCAGGGCCTAACTCCAGCGCCACCTGGAGGCTCTGGATCCTAACATCTCATTTATGTGTATTCAGCTTGACTATTTTTAACCCAAAAATGCATTACTTTACATTTTCGACATTAAACCTCATCTGCCATATAGTTGCCCACTCCCCTATTTTATCCAGGTCCTCCTGTAATGTTATCATGTCTATGCCTGTGCCTATTAACCCTCACAATGTTAGTATCGTCTGCAAACACAGGAATCCATACACGGATCCGCTGCTGATAAGAACCGTCCATGGGTCTGTGAAATTACCCGGACCCATGTTGGTCTATGGAGAATCGGATTAAAACAGACATGTGTCCATTTACATCAGATTACCCCCTATCTGCCAAGATCAGGTCCTCCGAAAAGGAACTCTCATCCGTTTGTTTTCCGGACCTTAGCGGAGTGGGGGGTAATTGGATATAAACAGATGCACGTCCATTTAAATCTGGCTGCCCATAGACTAATATTAAACTGCCGATCAGATCCGTCTGAAACACTGACCTGATCGGAAATTCCCGTGTGAAAGGGGCCTAAGAAAACAGGAGCAGTTAATTTTCTTGCAAAAGGGAAATCATCAAACCTCTCAAAAAGAGCTCTTGGATAAATATCAATATGCAGCCATTGTTTCTGAACTCAAAGCCCTCGCTTCTCATCAATACAGTATTTTAGGACCTATAAAGATTTAATCTGCAACAGGTTTTATTAGAAACTTTATTTTTATATTATAGATTGGTAAGTAAACAAACATGACATGTAAAAAACATTTTATTTAATGTAATATAATACTAAAATTGTATCATACATACACGGTATTAAACAGAACCATACTGCCATCAAATGGCTGCAAATGCCTCTCTCTTACCAACACAGACTGATGTACTTATACATAGCAAACACAAGGAGCATGACATGAGCACCACGCTCTGGAGATAAATCAGTTAATAAAAAAGTGCCATATGTCCACACGACAAAAGGCATGTACATGACATTGACATTACAGGATGCATAAAACACATATCAGTACTAGTCAAAATATGGTTCCTTTAAGGCACAAATATCAGGACACTTGTGAAGCTTACAGTGAATTCAGTTAGATGTGCCATTCTTGGAAGAATTACTTTGAATTGAAGTTATATCACATAAATTTCAAGGACAACAAGGCTTTTAAATTTAAAACAAACGTGTGCTTTACTCATGCTTTCTTTCTTTGCTTTTTTTGTGGTTGAATTGAGTGGTGGTGGAGCAAAGAAGTATGTGCAGCTCTAGAGGTAGACCTGAACCTTTTGCATGTTTGATGTAAAGTTTATCTAAACCCAAAAAGCTAACAAATTAAGTAGCATACATATATACCCTGAGGAGGTGTTGGATTTTAACAGGCTTTCCTAGCATTCCTATTGGTGATTTATCCTTTATCTGGGCCTGAACACTTACTGATTCACCAACAGCGACCAAGAGACATTCAGTCTTCTTTATTGCAGATTTTATTTGCTCAGACATCAAGGAGATTAGAGGGCTGGGGGTACAAGATACCCAAAAACAGCAGCAAAAATTCCTTTCACTCTGTAGAATCTTCTAAGTGGACACTCGGTATCTTTATGCCTCTACCAAAGGCTTATGCACATTAGGTAGACCAGGCTAGTTGTGGCTCTTTAAGCTAAGACCCACAATTTGTAGTTGTGGACCTTTTAGCCAGGACCAGGAATTGCCTATGCCAGACACTACTTCAGCTCTAGCCTCCTTACCCAGGCAAGGGGCCTGAGAAGCCTGAACTGGACATTTCAGAAGCTATTCTCGCCCCAGGCATTTAGCCTGGGGGGAAAGGCCTCTGGAACCACACCTTCACTAGGCAGCAGGTCTAGGAAATCAAGACTGGACACTTCACACACATCCTTTCCAGGCAAAACCTGGCAGGAAAGGACAATAATTACTCACACTGACTTCCTATCCACGTAAGGCCTGGGAGGGAAGAAAATATTTGGAAGGAGGTCTCCCCCAAAAAAATGTTTCCCCCTTCCCTAGCCTACATCACTGAAAAAAACACAAATTGACTCGCCAGGTTAAAATAAATATTTATAACCAAATACATTGTATCTCTTAACTCTATCATCTGGAAAACACTTCCCAGAGGCAGGCAGAACGCAAACAATCCAGAAAAAATAAGCATAAACTCAGGCTGGCTACAGCCTAGGTGCCAATGCTAAATTTAAACTAGGGACTCTCCAGCCTAATGTAGGGTCCCTACTTATATAGGTCAAAGGCTACTGGTCTTTAGATATGGTGGCAACAGTTGTTCCTTTTTTAGGATTGGTTTTTAATTTACACTTATCCTTCCAGTAACTGTAAGGGTACCTCTCGTATCAGACATTTCGGGCCGCGGGCCGGCCTCTCGATACAGCGGCATGACGTCACTAGGAGACGCGGCCGCCGCTCGTGACTCCGCCCACCTCAACAGTCCGATCCCCTTATAAGGAAACGAGTTGCACTACCTCGGCGTTCTAGTATTGCTAACGCCGAGCCATTGCAACTCGCCAGCGAACCACCACTACAAGGACCTTCCTCCTAAGAGACAACCTCGTGGAACAAATCGGAAGTACCTTTCTTATGCTGGACAAACGGTCCTGCGGGATCTACTCCTTCATTCCTGGACTCTTGTTGCGCCTCTGATCTGGTTATATCCAGTGGAAGTCAACCCTCCTAATCGCAAGTAAAACCTGCCTGATTCAAACTGTCTTTCTGTGTAATACAGCACTTCAAGGTGATTGTGCAACACTACTGCCATTCTAGGTTGAGTAACTGTATGTGGAGAGTTAGAGGTACTGCAACAAATCAGCTCGTATTCGGATCATTACCATTGCATAAAAGGGAATCTAGTTCATATAGTTGTGTAACATAACTACTAACCTAACTTGATAGATCCGAACCATATCCTTCTGTATATATATACTTCAGAGTTCTGATTACCTGCACTTATACAAAGATTGGCATATGATGTTATAGAGGGTTCCACCATCACTCCAACCATACAGAGTGCAACCGTGAACCCTCGGGCTGAGCCTAATCTAAACCTGGTATATAATTAATCTCCGCAGCTGAGATCCACCGTCATAACCCGTCGGATCGTTACAGTAACACAGTTCCTGTTCTAGCGCTCCCTCATAAAGCAGCTTTGTAACCTTTGGACTAAAAGCAGCTGGGGGGGGGGATGGGGCCAATCTGCTATTTGACTAGTCCAAGGAGTCACATTAGATCAGCACAGGGAGCTTTGCTACCTAGGGAAGTTTTAGCAAAACGGGCCGATGTACAGGTATGTATAAAGGTGTTCTCTTTAGAGGTTAGGGCTTTTGTAATTTTGTTGACCCTGACAGGTTCACTTTAAGTTCAAAAGCATTCTGGTTTTCGAAAATGATAAGACTTCACCTCAAAAAATATAATTATTAAAATTCCATAATTCCAAGAATTTTACAACTAAAATAACTTACTGTGAGCTTTATAAGTCATGATGATTTCTTGGCAACTGTAAAGAAAAATTATTGGAGACATAACACCTTACAAAGGATTTTTGTTGATGTTGTTCCCATTGAGAATAATTTACTTCATTACCTTCTGTCCTGTCATGAGAATAGTAGGTAAAGGAAATCTCTCCCACAGAGGTATGAACAGCTTTGAACATAAGCATTGTGGAGCGTCTGTCAGATTTTTACTGCTGCCTTGGCAAGATTCCCCTCACTTCCAACGACATTCAATGTGTTATGGGGTGGCAGAATATCAGGAGGACAGGAAATAATGGGATATATTCCCAAAGTGGATACACAAAAAAAAAACAACACAAATTTGAAAGAAGCTCTAACCCTTTAACACTTTATCCAAAACATAAAATATTTAAAAAATCATTAATTGCATTTTTAAAGTCAGCCAACATAAGCATCTGAAATTTCCTTTATTTTAGCTTACATCCAGGACACAGGGCTAGAGAGGGAAAGGCAATGGTGTAAGTCAATCAGGCTTTATTTTATGGCAGAGAGTCTTGCACTGGGATCTTCTTTATAGAAGGATAGAGCAAGTCATGACCTTATCAGTGTCCTTCTGTTCAGTTAGCAGGTTGTGAGTGCGGTAAAGATCAAGGAAGCAAAGCTTTGGGAGCATTTTTTTTAACATGTACCAATGGCACAATTTTGGGGACAGGGAACAGTATTAAAGTGTAAACTTGGACATTTTCGGGTATAATAATAAGGTGAGGCTTATATGTAGGGCATAAAAGATTATGGTTTTTGACTGGAGTTTGGCTGTATATAGAACCATCATTTCTTGGGGTACTGCACAAAGTAAGTGATTTAAGAGGATTAGTACGGGTAATACAAACACATAAGATGCTTCCAATGACAAGCACTTACCATTCTACAGCATTAAATATAGAATAATAACAAAGGTACAATTCAAGGAACCTGCCCATAAGCGTTTACCATTTAGAGGGATAAGAGTTGGAACAAGAGGTAAGGGTATAAAAAAAAAGAGATGAGGTAAAGGTATTAGACACGAGAGATTAATGTTGGCTCAATAATCAAAGATTTGTGGTAAGGTTAGCAGGAAGTAGGTTAGCAGATTTCTTTCTGTCTTTTTGTTTAACAATCCTGCTCAGAAGTAAGAAATCTGTGCTTTGAGGGATCTGTTTTAGTTCACTACCTTTTATTATATAAACATCAGTGTCTTCTTTTGAGTTATGTTTCTCATTCTTCTCCAACAGCCAGCAGAACCAGATCTATCCTGATGATAGGTACAAATTAAAGCCATTGAGAATGGCTCTGTTCCTTCCATAGTTAAAGCCATGTTTCCTTACTGTAACAATAATAAACCATCACTGCCCAAAGAGCACAAACAGTATGGACAGCATATTCTAAAATGTCAGCTCAAACGCAGATCATTTCTTGTTTCTAATTGAGAAAAAGCAAAAAGAGCATAGTGTGACTTTGGAAGTCAATGTGCATATTGGTTCAAAAGTCAGTAGAACGGATCATCATGGTGACAGACTTCAGTCCATGGCTGGGGCCTTTCCAATAATGCCACTTGATTCCATTGTACTTAGCAGTACCAGATCCACTTGGATAATAAATGCCATTGAGGTTTGAAGGGCCACAGGCGTCGAACCACCAACCTAGGAAAGGAGAAATCTTTATTGAGATTAACTGTAATTAAGCTGTTATTTTTTTAGTTAATTTTTTCTAATATCAAAAGAATGTACATGCTATCAAATATATAAATGTCTTTTACAAAGATTGTCCATTGGTACCGAAGAGAAATACCTGGTACTCCTGGGATGGAGAGCATATGACTCACCCCCTTGCTCTCATGTGACAGTGCTGGTGCTTGGTTGCTCAGGCACCCGGGTGGGTAAAGAGTCCTTAAACCCATATCAGCTTCAAGTCATGACTAGATATGAGGTTCATGTTCAGTTCGATGTGGGATTCAATTTCAGTCTAAACTTTGGCTGCTTGGTGTTAAGCAAACGGGTGAACTAAATGGTGTGTTCAACCGCCCACTGAGCTGAACCTCCAGTTGCAGTGGGAACTCATACATTTATCATGTATTACTATCACTGCTAAATGTAACAACTTCCCATACAGGGCTCCTGTTTACCAGGTAGCTAGTGGCTGCAGACATCCTACCAACCAATGATGCATCCCCGGCCCCCATTCAAAGGGGTGGTGATGCTGGCTGACATTATTCACCTTATAATATAAACAAAATCCAGCAGCAATATTATATTTACCACAAATGAACTTTTTTTCACTCACAACGTTTTGCTTCAGTACATCCTACACATCTTACAGGTGTGCCACTTCACAAGCAAATTGTGGGTATTCCCCAGGCATCTTATTTAAAGGAAATAATAGTGTAATGGGTTCTTACAGTTTGGAAAAATTTGGGTCCATATACCTACAAAAGAACTACTATCAAAGGTGGACCACAGTTTGCCTTATTTTTCTAGAAGTAGACTATAGGTATACTGGGGCAGAATGGTTATAATGTTTCTTCTAACCCCTCCACCTCTTGCCTTGGCATGCCCCCTGTACCTATGATTTCTGATTGTTTCATTATGATACTAAGGCTGGCTAGACAATTTTAGTAGCAGGGTGGTAGCACAAATAATCGAGCTAGGGAGAGAGGAAATATAAATCTGGCCCTGCAGATCGTATTCAGGCATGAATTTGCATGTAGCCAAATCAGCTGTAATGAACAGGTCTGTCCCATGAAAATTACAGTACTAGGATTGCCTTGTGTTTTTTCAGCCAAAAATGTACTAACCTTCACACTCTAATACATTAATATACATGCACCATCAAAAAATATATATGTACCTCCTGTAGCAATCTGTGCACATTTGCAGCTGCATCTGTCATTATCTACATCCTTGGTGCTGAAGTTAGTGCCTGCGGGGCTAAAACTGCTTGTCCTTCCTGCTGTTCCACTATATCCTCTTAAATTCAACCTGCAAGAAGGAATTGAAATATAATCTCTTCCAAGTTTCAGACCTCGTTTAATACACCACTAGAGAAATACTCCAGACTCTCATGATGTACTGTGATTAACAATAAAGTTTGCTATTTGAGCAGCAGTACATGTACAGTATAGTACTTTAAAACCCAACTCCAGCCAATATATTTATATAATAAAGCATTTGTATAGTGTTTTTGTACAAAATATTAGTACTTGTATTCTCACTGTATTCTCCTTTTGAGACAGAAGCTAAAGCTTTTGGTCCCTTTTACATGTTTTGCAGTTTTCCTATTTAGCGCTACTCCTTGTGGGATGGAACAGAATGACACTCAGGCTACTATTTCAATTTAAGGGTCTGGTCCTTGGTGAAAATTCGGGAGAAATTAAGTTGGGCGCCAGTCACTTTCATTTTTTTACAGCTTATTGCTGAACTTATTTCTAGGAGAGTGGGTTTAGGGGCACAGGATACCCAAAAATAGGACAAAAAGAAGACAGGCATTTTTAAATAACAGCAGTAGTGATAAGACGCTTTTAATATCAGTATCTTGGTAATTGCTGGCCCTATGAGAACAGATAGACAGATTTATAATCCTCTGATAGCTGTCACAGTATTTCTTTTGTTGCAGTGGATCTTTCTCTTCTTGGCTTGTCCCTTGACCATCTGATAGCAGTCACCAGTTACCTTGAACAGTGGGCAATTAACCTTTTTTTACCTTCCTACAGAGCTCCTTTGCAACATGTCTCAGCACAAAGATCCTTTTCAAGCCCAATTACCTCCAGACATGTACTCTAGCAGCTTACATCCTTGGGCCCCTGCAACATGCCCTAGCCTGGCCCAAGCAGAAATCCTTCTAAGCAGACATGCTTCCTAGGTAGAGCCCTGGGGGAGAGAGATGACTTTGGAAATGTGCCCCATATATTTATCATCTCCCAAGCCATACTTCTGAACAACACCATCCAGAATTGGTTGGGTCAGCTACAAATTCCTAACTAGCAATCAACCCACTGAGCTTAGGAAAGACCTCCAGGGCCCAGAAAATGTAAATAATAGCTAAAGCTGGTTACAGTCTGGCAAACACAAATACTAAATGAAAGGGATGCACCGATACTAGTATCAGTATCGATGCCGATACTGAGTATTTGGGCGAGTACTCGTGCTCACCCAAATGTTCACGATGCCTATCCTGATACCGGAACATCCAGCAAGTCATTACATGCTGCCCGGCTTCGTGATTGGCTGGGAAGCTGGCTCTATGCTCCCTCATCACTCGGTGACGAGGTAGCATGGAGCAACCTTCCGTCCATGTAATGACTCGCCGTCCGGCTTTCTCCTTGGTGAGGAAGCTGGCCAATCAGGAATCCGGGGGGCAAGTCATTACCCGCCCCCCCCCCCGGCTTCCTGATTAGCCAGAAAGCTGGCTCCGTGTTTCCTTGTCACCTGGCGGCTAATCACAAAGTCGGGTGGCGAGGCATTGCACACCACAAGACTTTCTTAATGGGACTTCTGGTATCAGTATTCCATGTCGGCGAGTACCGAAAAAAAATTATATCGGCACTCGTACTCAATACCGAAAAACCGGTATCGGTGCATCCCTAGTAAATGTAGTTAGGGGCACAGCAGCATAGAGCAGGGTCCCTGCTGAAAATAGGAGCTTATTGTTTACACAGTTCTGTAGCTAAAGCTGAAATTTACACACAAAAAATTGAATGAGCAGTGAAATATGGGATGGATTTCCGTAAAAGCCAAGCAGCCTAAAAAAGGATAATTACTGCTATGCTGTTTTTTTAGTTAACGCTGGTGCTTTGTGAATCCTTCGTCGTGTATTAAGTGTTCATTTAAAAACCACATTTTTTTTTAACATACAGTAAAAACACACGTACCAATAAGATAAAAAATTAACCTCATAAAAGTTTTAAAATGTTAACACAATTTCTAATGATACTTTTACTTTTTTTTAAAAACATTTGCAGCTTTAATTAGAATACCTAGTGATTCTGTTATTAAGGTCTCAGGCACTATACCTGTTAAAAAAAAAAAAAAATGTCTCAGGCACTTCCTGTTATGGGGTGATGACTGTCTCCTGCATTGTCACCCTATCACATGTTAGCCTGGTGCTAGCCATGCTGACACACATTGTAGACACACATTGTACTGGCATGGTCCACTGTGACTAGTGAGTAGTGCATCTGACACTGGAGCAAATCCACTTAGACAGGAAGTAACTGAAAGAGGCTAAAGAAGATAAGCAGAGATGGAAAAAAAGGTGGAAAAAAAAATCAAACAATATTTTATGGAAATAAAAAACAGGGCAACTGTTTGTGCAAACTAAATGTCATTCAGTTAGGGCTTGGTTCAACTTTAAAGCAAAGCCCAAGCAGGGCATCACAAAAATGGCTGGTGATGATTGCATAGTCTTTCACTGGTAAACAATAAAGGCATATGCATATAACAGGAGGTTTAGCTGTTTGCTATGCTGTTTGTTTTCAGGGGGCGTAATAAAATTTAGATTACTGTAATAAAGTGGATACTAGCATTATGGACCACCCTGGGTTTGGGGCTCCTCTGGTGCTAAAGCAGCTCTCTCTATGAGAAGGAGTGTTTACTTTTAGTTTGTGGTGGAAGCTTAAAGAAGAACTTTACCAACCAGTTTAATATCTCCCAAAATAGTTACTTTTAAGGCATGCCAACTGTCATGGTTGTCAGTGTGCTTATTTCAGCTCTCAACCGAATTTTCAAGCTGTAAAATAGCTGGTGTCATAGCTGTTCATATGTACTGCAGCATGAAAACTGCAATCCAGATACAGGCTAAGATGTCACCTTTCTGGGCTATAAGTGATAGGAAGTTGTAGTTCTGCTTTAATATGTTTAAAAAACAATTTGCGTAATAAAGTATCATGTCGAATTGTTTTGCTGTAGTTTGAGAGAGATTGTTAAAGGGTTAGGGTCTGCCAGGCTTTTATTGTTTTCTGTGTCCCCATTGGAAGATCCTCCCTTTACTATTTATCCTTGTGTCCATTGCAACCGGGACAGAAAGTTAGGGGAAATGTTATATTTTATGGTCCTCACTGAAACTCCATCTGGACGCCTGCTTCAGTGACAATGGTCAAAGTGGTATTGTTGATCACTGTGGGTAAATTTTCGTTCACTTCCTGTTGCAGTTTTGGATCAGTAAGTGAAGCCAAATATCCACGATGGAGAGACAGTAATGAATGACTGACAATCCTTACATTTTTTTTATGTAAAGGGGCCATAATCCCCATGAATGCTGCTCGGTTCTACTCCAAAAAAGTCAAAAGTAACTGTATAGGCAAACAAGCGATGTGTTAAATTCTGTATGGTCCCCATGGGTAGTACTGCGTCTCTCAGTTTATATGTGCTTTTGTTTCTCTCCCTTCTGTGATAATATTTGGTCTGCTGGGCCAGTGCGGGTTCCTTTCCTATTGGATGAATCATCAAAGCATTTAGTACGGTCTGATGTCTGTGAGAGGACAAAAGCAGAACATGCCTGGTACAGACGTGCCAAGCCAAATCAAATACCCTGGGATATTTCCATTTGTTTATCTGAAGTGTTGTTTGCCTGAGACGATAAAGACAACAGCCCATTCCAAACAAGCTGACTTCCAACCCACACAGACTCATGTCCTGTTTGTCTTGAAGGGAGCTAGGGGGTTGCCAATGTCTGGCAATCATGTCTCCTGTGGATAAAGCTAGAGGAAAACAAAAAAGGCTAACATGGTATTTATCACCTAACCTCTTCCTTCTTTTAATCATCACACATTCTCTAACACATGTTTTTATAACATGACAGGAACCTTTACATATACAAGTGTGAAGTCTACCACATCAAAAGGCATGCACACTTACTAAAGCATGTGACCCTACCTTTATATGTTTTTAAAAAGAGACTGAACACTGAAAGCTGTGCCACAAAAAGGCAGGCAGATGGCACAGGACTAGTCACCAGTATTGCCTGCAGGTGATCTATCCCCATTGCTGACTTATGGTGCCTTGTTCTGCAGTGTGTGTAGAGGTGGCCATTTTGGTAGAGGCAGGGCTTGGCTTCCTCACGTCAGAGCCTCCAGCCAGCATAGAGAACTGCACAATATTGATATCACCAAATCTCACTCCAAGCACCCAATACCAGCAGCCAGAGACAGCAGTGCCTTAGATCTCACACGGCAGATATGAGGATGTAGGACATGAGTCTCTAGTTACCCTCACATTTCAGGAGGAAATCCAGAAAAAAGGTACAATTTTCAGGGTACTGCTTAGGCACAATTAACATTTCCAGATGTTCCCTGTAACAAAGCAAATCTTCACTTTTTAAATTCAATTCCATTTAATGGGATCTATGCAGCATCCAAGCTCACAAGGCTGAGTGTTCAGTCATATTAAATTATTTTGAAAAACCTATAACCATGTATTTACTCTAGAGCCAAAAATGAAGTAGCCAAAAATGTGTAGCCAGTAAATGATATCTTAAAGTTAACCTGTCATTAGGTAATATTTAAAATATGCAATTCCAGACTTTGTAGAAAGTGCCAATTCTCTGGCTGGTATTCTCATCTTATGGCTTAAAGATGAATGCTGGGCAGAAATTTAGATTAACCCTTGCAGTGGGGCTACCTCCTACTGCAAGGGTTAATTGTTCGTTTCTGCCTAGGGTCAAAAAGTTATACTCACCTGATCTTCGGAGCCAGCATCACTTCCTCCAGCTCTGCAGCGATTGTATGTTCCTTGGCGTCCTGATGTCCAATAAACTGTATTGGACGTGATGACTTGAGGATTCCTAAACAACTGCAGTGGAGGGGGAGAGGCGCTCCAGGGACCAGTCTAAGATCCTGCCAGCACAGAGGTTTAGGTGAGTATAACTTTTTTTTTTGGCCCTAGGCAAAAACGAGCAGTTAACCCTTGCAGTATGGAATAGCCGCACTACAAGGATTAATAAAGTTTTTGCCCGGAATTCTTCTTTTAACTGACCTGGAGCAAGTATGCAGGTCCAGAATTTCGCCCTCATGCTTGAAGTAGTGAGGGTCTCTGATGAAACAATGTGATATTTCTAGATATGAGATCAATACACATGCTGTGAGGATGTTGGAAATATGGGCCTTGTTGTGACAGTTTTTCTGTTACTACAACACTGCCGACCTTGGTAATTACTTCCATGGTTACTGTATCTAATTTCACAGCTGTTTACATTTCACAGGTGACACATAGCAGTGTATATTATTTGGTTGGTCTTTTAACCACCTTCCGTCCATGGCCGTTTGTGAACGGCCGGACGGACGTCTGCTAGGAGCGGGAGGGCGTCTTAAGACGTCCTGCCCCTCCCCCCTCTCGTGTGCGGCACTCAGCGCGTACACGAGAGGGGAAACTGTGAGCATGTAAACAGCCAGCGATGGCTGTTTACATACAAGCGATCGCTTGCAGGAGCTGCAGGTGTGCGGCCTCCCCACCCCCCCGTACCCCTGTCCCGCTGTCTCCTCGTCGCCGCTGCCGGTCCGTGATCAGATGTGGACGGTGCGGCTGGGACCGGCACGGCGACGCTCTAACAGCAGATCAAAGGGAGATCATTACTCGATTTCCCTTTGATCTCTCTTCCTGTCCCCGAATGCAGGAAGTGATGTA